TTTTTTCATTCTTTGTAGAAACAGGGTCTTGCTATGTTGCCCAGACTGGTCTCAAACTCCTGGGCTCAAGTAATTCTCCCCCTTTAGCCTTCCAAAGTGCTGAGATTACAGGCATGAGCCATCATGCCTGGCCCAATTTGCAATTTTTTTTTTTTTAAGCATGGAGTAGACAATCATGCCAACCACAAATGAGACTGATGTCTTCATTAAAGCACACTTACCTTTCACTTGAAATGCATTGTTAAAAGCTTTTCAAGCTATGCCATACATTTTACAAACATTTATTGTAAAAGTCTATTCAATTCCATAGTCAAGTGTTCACTTTCTCATTTTATAACTTCCCTCTGATCAGTTCACTTTAGCAATATTTTACTTTTTTATATGCAATGCTGTTTACAACCTGACCCCTGACCTCTTTTAGATGTTAAGCTACTTAGCCGGATGTGGTAGCACGCGCCTGTACTTCCAGCTACTTGGAAGGCTGAGGCGGAAGGATCTCCAGAGCCCAGCAAGTCGAGGCTATGGTGGCCGGGAGTGGCCACTGCACTCTAGTGTGGGCAACAGAGTGAGACTCCAAATAAAAAATAAATAAAATAAAATAGATATTAAGCTACAAGAGTGCAATTAGTGTCTAGCCATGAACATACTATATAATTAAGATAATTTATATAGATTGCTGTATTAGAACAAGGAGAATAAGAGATGTAAATGTCAGCAGTGGACATTCATAGGAATGTTCCAGGCATTCTGGTTTATAAAAACATTAATACAACCCCACACACTCTACGAATGCTTGCATAAATGAGATGACCTCTGTTCATGAATGCTGACTTGCTGTCAGGGGCGAGATGTCTATGATTATAAAGCTATTAGCATTGACGGCTGAACTGAGCTTAGCTATTCACACACTTTCTTACCTGATTTTCTTTGTGACTACCTGCACATAACAATTTTTGTCAAGGAGAATCTAATTAGTTCTAACAGGGACTTTGACCTTATTATCCTAATAAATTAGTATCCATAACTGCAAAAGTAAGTACCACAAATTATCTGGAATTTAGAAAGGTTTGAGCTCAAAACCAATAAATCCATAAACCCCTATCCTTTAATTTTCAAGTACAACTTATATTCACAAAACAAACTGATCCTTAAAGATATTATTTCAAAGTCAAAGCTCTTACTATTTTAACATGCCCACATGGCTCATCCAAGTGAACACATGACAGATCCTACACATCTTTCCCATGTCAGAGACTAAAAGAGAGAGAGAGCAGGAGGCAGAAAAGAACAGGACACCAGTGTGACAAAATGCTAAAGCCAAGCTATAAATTATCTTCTGGTCACTCTCTGCTGCATTTTGAAAAAGCTGATGCAGCCGGGCATGGTGGCTCAAGCCTGTAATCCCAGCACTTTGGGAGGCTGAGACGAGAGGATTGCCTGAGCTCAGGGGTTCAAGACCAGTCTGAGCAACATGGTGAGACCTCGTCTCTACAATAAATCAAAAAATTAGCTGGGCATGGTGGCACCTGCCTGTGGTTACAGCTACTTGGAAGGCTGAGGCAGAAGTATCACCTGAGTCTAGTAGGTTGAGGCTGCAGTGGCCAAGAGTGTGCCTGGGCAACAGAGTGAGACTCCGACTCAAAAACAAACAAACAAACAACAAAAAGCTGATACAAAAGTATAGCTTATCTTTCCTTTGGATCGATATGAGCATCATATCAAAACATCTTCCTAACTCTCTAGCAACTCACTGTCCTCCTACTCTTCACACAACTTGCCCAGCAAGAGCAGCACTGCTGGGTTCTAAAGACAATGACTGAAAACTCTGTGTTCTGATGAGGGGAGGGAGCAGTGAAGACCAGTTTCCTGGGCTCTAAACTCTGCCAGACTGCCCTGCTAATCCTCCCCAAATCCCACAACGGTGGGGGTGGCGGTGGGGGATAGAATAGAAAACAATCCAAAATTGAATCAAGGACAGTAGCTCTGGGTTACAGAAGGTCATAACATTCCTATTTGAATAGGGGGAGGGGATGGTGGAGTTGGGGAAGGACATATACTTTAAAATACTAACAAAAATAAATTTTATCCCTGATCTTCTGATATGCTAACCAACATCTGTCCCCAATCATTTGCCAGTCCTGGCTGCAAAGAAGGCTCAGGGTAGCAGGCATTTTCACACAGTAAGGCTGGAAGAGATGCTACTGGAGTGTAAATTACTAATTAGTTCAATAGAAGACAAAGAGAGAAAATACCTGTCACAGAATGCTATTTACAACTTGACATTTAATAAAAAACAACCCTGAAAATTTCAAGAGAGAGCCTTACTTTCCAGACTTCTATTAACATGTGAATGAAAAAGGAACAGTATTATAGTCTTTAAAAATGGCCTGTGTCTCAGAAACAATAATGCATGACTAGAAAGAATGCTTTCCAAATAATTTGTAATTTTCTCAGCCCTATGAGAGAGAAGTGTTTTTCGTTATTACAATAAACTTTAACAAGGAGCTATATTTCAGAGCTTTGATAATCGCTTTAAAAGGGGGGGAAAGGCAAAGAAGCCCATAGCTGCCGTATTTTACATTTGTCAGAATACAGCTAATATTCCTTTAACTTAAGAGACGTTTCTTCAGGTCATGCCTTTATCAAATGGACAGGCTATCATTTTAATGAAGACTCAGATAGCTGAGGTGAGAAGGGGGGGTCAATTAAATTTTCTTAAATGACAACAATTGAAAAGGCTCCCAAAATTTAGGTTTATTTTGGGGGCAGAGAATAGAATGTTAAGATATTTCTATTCAGCTGGGCACGGTGGCTCAAGTTTGAAACCCCAGCATTTTGGGAGGCCGAGGTGAGAGGATTGCCTGCACCCAGGAGTTCAAGATCAGCCTGGACAACTTGGCAAGACATCGGCTCTACAATAAATCAAAAAATTAGCTGGGTGTGGTAGCACATGCCGTAGTTCCTGCGACTTGGAAGGCTGAGGCAGAAGGCTCACCTGAACCCAGCAGGTTGAGGCTGCGGTGGCCGTGATGTGCCACTGCACTCCAGCCTGGGCGACAGAGTGAGACTCCAACTCCAAAAAAAAAAAAAAAAAAAAAGATATTTCTGTTCATCTCTTCACCATATGGCAAACCTATTTACGTATATTAATCCCAATCAATGTTCTTAAAGCAATACATTTTGTACTCTGATCTTCAAAATATGTATTTAACCTAAATATTTCAAATATTTCTTGGTCATGGTGTTGAAAGGCTCCATGGTTACTGATTTCTCATACAATAATCATCCATTCATCAATAGCTAGCGTATCCTGAGGACATGTCCCTGTGTGCACAACCCATGCCAAATGCTAGGGAGGCTCCCAAAAGAGGGTTACACAGTTTTTGCCAGTGGGAAAGACCTAGAAACCCATCATTCACAGGTAAAAGAATCTTTCTCAGAATGCGCTGAAGATGACTAATCATACACACACAAAATCCATCCTAAATCCAATCTTGGAATTTCTTTGCTTTGAGTGCTTGACTAAAATCAAACACACACTAAACTTTCTGATACTAAAAGTATTCTTCTCTTTCCTTTTTTTTTTAAATGAAGGACTTCATATGCATTTTCTTCAATTTTACTTTTTTAAAAATACTCAAGTGAGAGAAAATAATAAAGCACATGGAGCAAAATGAAAACAATTGGTGAATTTAAGAAAGGGTAGACAGTAGTTCCTTGTATAATTTTGCAACTTTTCTGTAAGTTCTGTAATAAAATCAAAAGTCACCCGAAAGATACAGTATTAACAACAGAAGGTCCCATACTTAGTTAATGCTAGACACCTAGAAAACAACAATTGTTTAGTTATTTTTTAAAATGAGTAGATTAATTTAATCAATTAAAACATGAGGGCTTAGAATATTACTTAAACAAGTACACATAAAAAGAAGATAGTAGAAAACCAGCAAGGATCTGAACAGATATTGCTCATGGATATCTGCACTGAAATCTGGAAATCAGGAAAAATCCATTTTTCCTCCTACAGCAATACTTTTTCAGTTGCAAATCTGTCATAATATATAACAAGTCCAGGGCCTTTTTCTAGCTAAAAAGGTAGACAGGTAATCTGCAATGCAGTAAAGCTTTTTTTTTTTTTTATTAGTTTGGGTCTGTTTCATAAATACATGTACAATTCTGGAGTAAAAAAAATAGAAGCAAACAAGAACCTTGCTGTAACCTTTGTATTACACATAACCCTTATGGTGTTTACCCTAGGTTCACCATCTAGAAAGATACCGAGGAAAGGTTAATTACAGACCACAGGGATAATTTAAGGATTGGTAAACAAGACCTGTTAAGTGTTGAATCTGAAGAAGGGCATGGTGAGGAATTACTTTACACAGGCAAGCAGAGGTCAGACCAGAGCACAGACTCTGCTGGCAATATGCCATGTTTGGAATCCCACCCCCACCACTTGGTAGAATTCTATCTTTTAAACTAAAATAAGATTAAATGTATCACCGGGTTAAAATTGAACCAAAAAAAAAGTACTATTTGTACTGAAAGAGAATTAACTATCAAACAAGTAGTTGTAGAAATGTCTGAGTATAAACTTGGGCAAGTCATTTAATCTCAAGGAACCCTCTATTTCATCACATGTAAAATGATAATAGTAAAGTACTTAGCTCAAAGGGTTGCCTTAAGGAGTAAACAAGTTACAATTTGCAAAGCGTTTACAACAGTGGCTGGCACACAAGCATTATATGTGGGTTGGCTACTATGATTAAGTTTATGAAGAACTAAGGTTTTATAAATACAATAGTAAGCAGATTTTTTACTCAGAAATTGAGAATGGAGTAAAAGAAAACAAATGCAAGTATAGCAGTAAGTACATGCTGGTTAGATAGATGGCAGACTCTCCTGATAGAGAAATTATTTAATGCTGGAAAATATGATCTACAAAGCTTGCCACATTACTACTGAAGATTTATTACAAAGCAGGATAAATTTTTATCTACCTGGGATGATTTAAGTGGGATAATGACTGAAGTTGCAGGATAAACTAGAGCTCCTTTCAAGGTCTCTTCCCATCCAAAGAATCTACAATTAACCAGGAAAACATTTAATTATGTACAACCTACTCATTCAAATCTGAAAATACAAACTTAAAAGTCTTTTGCTTAGCACACAAAATAAAGCAATTTAGCATCGAATTCTATCTATTTGATAAACAAATGAAAAGAAAGCTTAAATTTATCACTGGAATCCTTACTTATAAATAGTATTATCTGCCGGGCTCAGTGGCTCAGCCTGTAATCCCAGCACTTTGGGAGGCTGAGGTGAGTGAATTGCCTGAGCCCGTGGGTTCGAGACCCGCCTGGTTAACTTGGTGAGACCTCATCTCTACAATAAAGCCAAAAATTAGCTGGGTGTGGTAGCGCATGCCTGTAGTTCCAGCTACTTGGAAGGCTGAGGCGGAAGGATCGCCAGAGTCCAGCAAGTCGAGGCTGCAGTGGCCGGGAGCAGCCACTGCACTCCAGTCTGGGTGACAGAGTTGAGACTCCAATTCAAAAAAAAAAAAAAAAAATAGTATTATCTGAATTTTTGAAAATACATTTCAAGTTTTAGAAATATCAACCGAGAAATAATCATTGATAAAAATAATCAGTGGTTTAGCACACTATGGCAGTGGACAGAAACAAAAGGAAGGACCTAAACAGACTTTTTCCCTTGGTCGAACTTATAGTTTATATTTTCTTTACCAAAATCAAATAAGTCTCAAATAATGTACTATATAAAGGTATCAAGTTTAAAACAATTACATGATAAAAGTGGCAATACTATACGGAGTACACAACCTACTACTAATGCCCGTCCAAACACATCTACAAAGGGAATATGCGCACACCTCTCACAGAAACAAGTGCTTCACATTAAAGTTATTCTTCATCTTGAAAGTTAACATTATAAAACTAATCTTCTCAAAACTTAGCAGCAAAAATGGTCTTTTCAAAATCCTGTTAAATTGCTAAATAAATCTAGTCACCTTGAACACCTGCTTAACAGAATCCAAAAAACAGGCCATTTACTAAAAGTAAAATCTAATCTTTGCTAACTATTACAAATGCCATAAAACTAAGCTCTGCTATTAATGTAAACATCCAAAAACAGTGACAATCCAAAATGTATACAATTTTGGGGTAAAAAAGTATCTTAGTGATCTGAATGGACACTAATGAAATAACCCCAAATAAGATTCACAAGAACTGTTTGCATTTTTCCCTAAGTAAATTATATGCTATCCTTTGGTACACTCAAATGCAAAATAAATATTCCTTCATCTTTTTAGCCAAATGTAAAGGTTTCAAGTACAAATCATTCAAACAAAATTTTACATAATAACCTAAATTTTGTCTCAAATTTCTTATCTTCCTTTGAACTTTTAAAGGTATCCTAAAAATCAAAACTTCTAGAAAATTAATATTAATCTGGTCTTCTTTAGTCACAAGCATAAAACACAAGAGGCAGTGGAGCTGTCCAAAGCTCCAGCTTATAATATTATCTTATAGATATTTTTCCACTAAAACTACTCATAAATTAATTAACTTAAAGAATATGTCCAGCACTCTAAAATCCTCCACTACTCTACAATTCTCCTTTTCTTTATTCTATTTTGTTAAAGAGGAAATGTCCCGCACAAAGCTAAAGGCAGCTTAGGAACTCAAAACCCTCAGCCCTGATTTAAATCTCTCCCCCAACAAACTACTCTGATTGGTTATTTGCCTTTTTCTGAAATGATTTCTCAATATTCTCCAGTCACTGAAGACAATTATTAAGCAGAAACCTGATTGATAAATCGAAACAAAAAGATTCTCACCTTTCTCTAGCCCCACAACAGTACACTCTCCATTGAAAATGAAAATGCTGTCGATAAAACATTATGCCCTGCACTTGTCAGGTCCAGCACTGCTACAACACCAAAACTATCACCACTACACAGGTACACTATAAATAAGCACACCCTTTCCCCCATTATTACAACACTAGTGAAAAGCAGAGGTTTTCGCGATGCAGAGTTAGCACTTTATCATTCACATAAGAACAAAATCAAATCAAAATGGATCTCCTCTCTTCAAAGAGGACATGAAAGTCAAATTAAAAGCAATTAAAGGTAGACATGGATTCGAGATTCCTTGGAGAGAAAGAGGTTTCTGGAATTTCCTACTTTTAGGGACAAAAGGACTCACTGTTTCAACACACTTACAGGTCTCTTCCCAATACAGAAATCCTTTCCTGCACCTCCCACCTCTGCCCTCACATTTTAGTTTTTACCCTAGTCTCTAGGTCCCCCTTGCACTCACCATGGCTCCTCCTCTTCTGCACCAAAGGCTCCCTACACTTGATCCTTCACTACAGCATTTGTGCTCTGACCCTTGCAGACCTTCTGGAGCATCTTCCCACAACATGCAGATTCGATTCCCACCCCCGCGCTACATCCATCAGGACTCCCCCAGTTTCCCTTGGCCCCCTTTTCTTCCCTTACTCCCCATCTCATCCTTCAAATCCCGGGGCCCATCTCTTCCTTGCTCCTCTCACCGTTTGCTTTCAGCCCTGTCTCATCACCTTACTGCTTTCACCTTGGATCTTGATGAACCTCTTCAATTAACATAATTCCCCAGGCACCCTTGTCCCAGACGGCCATCACTTCTTACAACCTTACTCTAGTCGCCCTTTCAGCTCTTCTGGTCCCGGAATTGTCCTATAAACACCCATCTCTCATCTGTTTCCTCTCGCCCCTCCACCACGCTCTTATTCCTGACTCCACCTGGTTCTAGTCCAGGTCTCATTCACCCTCCCTCACTTTCCAGAATTTACACCGACAGCCCCCCTACTAACCTAACCCATACCTCAGAGCCTCGCCAGCAGTTCCCCCACACCGGCGGCCCTGGCCCTTCAGCTCATCTCGCTCTGCACTAGTTCACACCCTTGTCACGTCTGGCTCTTAATCACCCTCTTCCCTACTCCAACTACTACCCCGGCTCTGCCCCTCCTTGTCTTCCACTTCCAACTCTTACCCCAGTACCTCTCACCCAATACCAACCCACAAAGCTTGCCCCTTCAAGCCCCCGCTCTCTCACCGACTCCCAGGACGCCCCTTCCCAGCCCCGGTCTTCCTAAGCTCATTCCCTGCCCGGCTTCCTTAACGCCCACCCTGGTTCCTGCCTCCTGCCCACCTCCTTGGCTGGCTTTTTCTCACTCCTCCTCTCCCTGGCATCCAGCCCTTTCTCCCTTAATCCTCCTCAGCTCATTCTCATCGCGGTTCCCCAGCCGCCCCAAGCCTGCCTTCCCCTCTTCCCTCTGGGTTTTCCCCCAACCCGGACGT